CTGGGTCTCTCCACGGCCACGGCCACCTTCCTGAGAAGCTTGTTGAGCTTCTTGGGCCATAGATGAAGCTATTCCCACCTCTTGCGATGCCTGTTGTGTCCCTCCACGTCCTCTGCCGCGTCCACGGCCCCGTCCACGGCCCCGTCCGCCTTCCTGAGATAGCATGAGCTCGAAGCCGGAGGGGTCTCGCTGGGTGGAGGTGTCTTGGGTGCTTGCTTGGGTGCTTCCTTGGGTGCTTGCTCCGCCGCCGATGAAGTTCCTAGCGCCTCGGGGGCGTCCTCGCCGGCGTACTTGGAGAGGATCCTGGAGTAGGAGTAGCGGGTTAATAGGAGGTGCAAATACACTGTACAAATGCCAGTGTTGATGAAATAACTCAGGCTCAAAGCTCTTCTCCTCTTCTTCGTACTACATGATAAGATGAATGCATGGAAACCCTGCCGTATTCTTCGAATTACAGCGGCAAAGTGGAGGAATAGGCGGCTTATCCTCTGCTTCCGGTAGGTAATGGTTATAGACAGCCTTCGTAAGCTTGATTGCTTGCAATGAAACCCGTCGATCTACCAATTTGAATAGACGCCAGAGATTCGTAGACCTTCTTACCTTCTCATTCTCGATCTTAGCCGTGACCTTATCGAATTGAAGCTTTATAGCATTCTCAAAGGTGCGAAGAACAACTAGTAGATCATTGGTCGAGACTTAAAGGTCTTGCTTAAGCAGCCAGTGAGCTCCCTCAGTCCGAGAGGTCGAAATCTCATTGAGATGAAGGTATCCGGAGGTGTATTCATGAAGGAAATACTTAGGGCAGTCGTCTAGCCATTCAGTCTGTAGATACTCGAGTAGAGGCATAAAAATCGGCTCTTTGTAGCATTCTTGAAGCTGTTTCCATCTCTCCTATCTCTCTTCCGTAGTGACAGCGTAGACGACACGAATCCACCGCTTTAGCATCATCTTCCACGCTTTATCGACCATTTCTCGAAGCTCTCGGTCTCTCTCTGCCTTCGTCCGACGCTGTGAGGAAGCTAAGGAAGCGGATATATTTGCTAAAGCTTCAGTCTCTTGCCGAGCTTTTGCGAGCTGCTCAGCAAGTAGCGGACGCGCTTTCTTTAAGATATTTATGTTGATATGCCATAGACAGATCATATGCTTTGTAGAAGGGAAGACAACCTTCACAGCATTCATTAGCGCCTGCTCCTTATCGGTAAGGATGGTCTGGGGTGCTTGAAGGCCGAGAGCTTCGTAAGCCTCTGCAAGACAGCTTAAAATGACTTCGTAGCTATCATCCTTCTCGTCTTTTATGAAGGCGAAGCCGACGTAAAAGGTTAAGCCCGTAGCAGTGAAGCCGACGATATCGAGCATTGGAAGGCCGTACCGGTTAGTTTTGTAGGTGCAATCCATTGAAATAACCCATGAATTTGTCTTAAGTAATACTATACTCGTCTTATGCATACAGAAGAGGGCTATAACATGATTCTTATCGTCAACTTCATACTTGAAGATCCATTCGCCGTCCTTTAGAAGCTCTATCAATAGAGCTTGAAGCGGAGTACGGCCGGCAAGGAATTCAGCATGAAGCTTCTTCCGGAAGTTGTAGATATCCTAGGCATTAAGGTAAGTCTCTGGATTGTCCTTTCGAAGACCATGAAGGACCTGACGGGTAGGAAGGCCCTGCTCAAGCTGCTTTTTGACGCTATCTAATACCGTAGAAAGCTCAATGCTTCGCTGAATTGGGTGGGTTGACAGAGGTGACGGACCATGGTTATGTGTCGAATCCTCCACCGTAATAGACCACCTACCCGTCTCGAGACTTAGCCGAAGCGCTATACTGAAGGGACAGTTATTGGCAAGTGTCGTAGTCTGGCGCTCCGGAGGTCTATCAGGTCGCTTTCTTATCGGACGACCTCTGTCACAACATAGTCGGACGGTCTTCATGACCCCTTTCTTAGTACGTTTTGAGCGGAGAATTGAGACTGCATAGCCATATTGACGCCCTAAAGCATTGATCGTGGTGATTCCGTGCTCTGGCGTGTCGTAGTACGTATCGAGAGGGGGTAGCGGGAATGTATGGAGGCTTAGCGGCGGGTCTTGGAGGCTTGGCGCGGTGTTTTGGAGGCTTGGCGGCGCGTCATGAAGGCTTGGCAGCGACGGTGGGGACTCGGGAATAGCT